CAATGAATTTTGTTTTATTTTTAGGTTTTTTCATACTTAAAAAATGAATGAAATTTAAATTTTCTACTTTTTTCTACATAAAAGTATATTTGTGGCTGAACTTTGATCACTACACAAGTCTACATTACCTTAGATCAGAACTTAGTAAAGTATTAAACTGCACTTTTTAAATAACAATACAGTTGTTTTTTTATATTGGCTTCAAGTTAATGCATGAAACTCCTAACCACTAAACTAAATAATTTACTTATATAATTTTAGAGTAAGAGGCTCTAAACTTCCAATATATTGTGTCCAATCCATTGATGTCAAGGCCAGAGAGATTTCTAGAAGGCCTAAGTGATAGACAAATGAACAGCTGTGACCATATGAGCAGAAAGTGAGAGAGAGAGTAAAAAGTAAAGTCACAGGAAAGAGAAGTTTAGTGAGAGAAAACTTAGAAAATGCAAAGTTAACCATCGTAGGAGTGAAAAGCCTAACAGCTGATATGTTAAGAGTGAGATTAACAATTTGAAAGAGATAAGGAGAATAATTTGTCTTGTCAAAGGATGTTCTAAACTAAATGAATCAGCCTGTGTGGACTTTAATGAAAAGCAGATGATTAGTTGGAAGCACGAAAAAAGCAGACAATTATTGGAAGTATAGCATACAAATGTGGTAACTCACATGACAGCATAAGTGAATTATATATAGATACTATTGCAATAACAATAGAGAAAATAGATTGGCTTGTCAACTGAATTCTAAAGCAATTGAATTGGCCTAAGTTGACTTTTGATAAGAAGAGAACTGTATATTTTTTAAGATACAACTATGATCTCCATAGCGTAAAGAATTTTGTACATACATCTAACTTGTTTCGAATATATAAATATATTATTTTCAAAATAAGTGGAGAGCGTGCTGTTCGTTTATTGTTGAATTTATCACCAACAAGTCATAGAAACCTACTACAGAAGAATCCTGAGCCCAACACACCCATATACTTACATTACTATATATGTATATATACTACTAAAAAATAAGTTTATGACATCTGTAGTTTGAGAACTTTA